CAATTAACATAAACAAAATGGGGTGGGCGCGATGGCCCAGTGGTTAAAGACACTTAGCTTGTTAGCTAGAAAGCGGATAGGCCGGATTCAAGATCCGAGTGCTGCGCAATGGGATTTGCTCCCGTTACTTGTCCCAGCTCCTGCCAACCTAGCAGCTCAAAAGCCTGCAAATGCGAATAGACAAATAGGCACAACTTCAGTAGGAAGGTAACAGCGAGATTATCTCTCTCAGTGAATGCTGGCCATACGAGCACACAAATGTCTTCAGCTACCCCTTGGCTAAGAAGTACAGATCAGCACTGCCTCCACAACTGGACAGGGAAAATCTTTACCTTTGTAAGGAAAATATTATTTTTCATTTTACCATTGTTTTCTGCTTTTAATTCTGCTTTTAAACAAAACGCAGAGAATTGATATTGAGTAAATGCCTTCTTGGGCCTAATAGGCATGTTACTGGATGTCCATACACAGAAAAGAGGCAGGACTTTTACTATAATATGCTCCTTCCAATTTACAGGTTTTGACACAAACACACATACAGTATTCTGTGGGAGATGCCGTTGCACTAAGGCAGTGTTTCCCAAACTTGGGAACTTCAAGATGTATGGACTTCAACTCCTAAAATCCCACAGCCAGCCATGCTGGATGGGGAATTCTGGGAGTTGAAGTCCACACTTCTTAAAGTTCCCAAGTTTGGGAAACACTGCATTAAGGAATTATGACAGCCCAGGAATACAAGCAGGTTGTCCAACTGGGAGTCTCTATACAACTTTCAGATTTAAGAGAAAGTAGTGCTCTGCTAAGATGCAGCCAGGGCTCCTTCATGAGTAACAGTAACAGAGTTGGAAGGGACCTTGGAGGTCATCTAGTCCCACCCTCTGCTCACACAGGAGACCTATACTAGGGATTCAAACCACCGACTTTTCTGATTGACAAGCTCAGCGTCTTAGCCACTGAGCCCCCTAGGGAGCCGCCTATGAGATCCTGGTCTTCTTTTGATATCTCAGATATGAGAAGAGGTATCAAAGCAGTATCCATACAACCAGAATAGTATGTATATACAAGTTGTTTCTTTTTTTATTTCTTTTCCTTCCTGAGTTATTTTCCTGTAAAGGCATCAGTTGGAGGAGAAAGATAAAGACACACCAAGGAGAGGAATGATTTGTGAGTCAGATGTTTCTGTTCCTGCCCAGAAGGAAAAGTAGGTAGCATGAAAAATAAATATGTTTCGGCATTCTTCCCATGACTGGGTACATTCAGATCTCTGTTTTTATCTTTCTCTGTGTTGCTGGGTTGGAAAGAAGAGAGGAAGGGACAGATTTCCATACCCCACCAACAATAATACCTCAATTGTCATGCTTTATTTTCCACTATTATACAAGATGACATGCATATATTAGATTGAAATCGTCAGCGAATACATTCTCATATATTTAGCCAAACAAGTGACAAAAAATCAGTTACAGTTATAAGAAAAATCAAATTAAAGCTATTTTACACTATTATTTTATTAAAGTAATTCATAAGAAATTAAGGTCATCCTGGCCCTAGCTTTGACACAGGTAGCCTCTGAAAGCTTATCTTCTCTTTATAGAGTATAGCAGAAGTAGATCCATGGTTTGTACATTTCATGTACTTAAGACCCCCAGACTCCAAATTTGAAGGAAAAAGTGCCAATTTTCAATATGTGGTTTCTTTATTTTGGGGACAAATAGCTGCATTATGTTCAATGCACCTGATCTGTCCTTAAACTCTCTCAACAATCCAATTAAGTGGTTGAGCAGAAACTCTTTAGTGGTATCAAATGATTCATATTTGAAAAGGAACTGAGACCTTTTTTTTTGTTTCAGAGCCACCAAAATGGGCAGTCACATACAGCCACTAAATGATTTGTACTTCTTCATATTCTTTCCTGATACACAGGAGATTTCCGTCATTGCCTCACTCTGCTATTAAGCAAAATGGAATTCTTTCTGCTATCATGAAGCTTCATAATTACTACAATTCAGGCTAGCTCTTTTGGCACAAGACTATCTTTACTGGATACTTAGGACGTTCAATTGCCTCTATAAAAATACTGTAAATAACCAGTGTGCCTGTACAACTGAGAATATATTGATTATTTAATTCATTGTAATTTTTAACATGGTAATTTCTATTCTTCAAAGCCCTTTGCTTGTTTTTGTAAATTAGTGGTTCTGATTGCGGTCTGGCTCACAGGCAATTCCTAGGTAATAACCAGAGCTGAAGATTCTCACAAGCAGCCTATGTGGCCTCTCTACCTCACTATCTTTGTGTGTAGAAGATGAATATTTGTACTGAGGAGTTTCTGGGCAGATTTCCTATTTGGTTCAGAAATGCAGAATATCAGAATTGTTAATTTCTCAAAGAGCCTCCATACCCAGAGACTATCTCCCTCGTGGAGATAGTCTCCTCCTATACGGGAAGAAAGGAATACGCAAATTGCTAAATACTGTATCTGGACTACCTTACCAAATAGGTCAGTTGGGCAAAATTCTAGTCAAATGGGATTTTTCACTAGTCTGGAGAAGAATGCTAGCTGGGGATTACTGAGCATAGAAGTCCACACATCTTAAAAGTCGCTGAGGTTGAGAAATACAGGTAGTTTTCGACTTACAACACTTAATTTAGTGACTGTTCAAAGTTACAATGGCACTGAAAAAAGTGACTTATGACCACTGTGGCATCCTCATGGTCACATGATTAAATGCAAATGCCTGGCAACTGAATCATAATTATGACGGTTGCAGTGTCCCAGGGTCATGTGATCACCTTTGGCAACCTCTGATAAGCAAAGTCAATGGAGAAACCAGATTCACTTAACAACTATGTTATTAATTTAACTACTGCAGTGATTCACTACAGTCATAATTGTGACAAGAAAGGTTGTAAAATGGGGCAAAATTCACTTAACAACTGTCTCACTTAGCAACAGAAATTTTGGGCTCAATTGTGGTTATAAGTCGAGGACTACCTGTACTGATCTAGCTAATGACTTGGATTTGAGCCCCTGCAAAGTTCAAGTGTAAAGTTCACTTGCAGCAGGATGTGTGGTAAAAATATTTTGTCCTCCAAAATGGCAGGTTGCTTTGCAAGTCAGGGCCAGTGAATTTTGTTCTTTCAACCCTAAATGGAGTATGATAAACCTAGGACACAACTGGCCACTTTGAGGTGATCACCATCTGCTTCCTGCTTGGCAGGAAATTGTGCTACAATTAGAGGAGAAAGGGGAGGGGGAGGGAGGAGGAAGAAGAGGAAGAGGAAGAGGAAGAGGAAGAAGAAGAAGAAGAAGAAGAAGAAGAAGAAGAAGAAGAAGAAGATCGTCATCAAAATGCATGCCATGTGGGTGAGCTATGTGCCTTCCAAGTTACCCTGTCAACACTTAATCTGGAAAATTTAGGTATACAGGAAGGCTACCAGCTGGGAACAATCACCTTCTGCAGCTGAACAGAGTGATGTCTCTAATCCAGAGAGGGGAAGGATCAGCAGATCGAATTCTATAGTGGAACATGCTGTCTGAAGAGGGGTTTTGCAAAGCCTTAATTGACAGCTGTAGTTCTTTTAAGCCAAGAAAAAACACTTGTGTCTTCTTTCCCACCTCTGACACAGTTGCTGGGAAGAATTTTAATGACAGGGGCTCTGTCACTGCCAAGTGTTGTTTCTCCACAATGCTTTCACCCACATCTTTACCATGAATACTTATTTAATAAAATTATACATGCCCTTCCAGGATGGTTTTAAAAAAGCAAACTTAAGTGCACAAGTAAAATTTAATGTGTGAAATTGAAAATAATTGTTACTTTATTAATGCAAATTATTAAGCAGTGATGGATCATTTTAAGAAATTTTTACAGCTATTGAGCCATTTTGATACAGCAGGCATTCAGCTGAATGGCTGGTTTTTGAAAAACATCCTTTCTACTTTTTTGTCAACTCCACAGGCAGCATTTGGACTGGCCAAATTTATATCAAACAAATGAGTATTAATTCAATTTGAATTCTACCTTACTTTATGCACATGTCAGAAACAGGAATGACTTGGTGGTGCATTTATCTCAGTTCAGGAAAAGCTATCCATTTCTCCTGCAAAGACCTTATTCCAAAAACTACCAGTCATAGAGGTTAATGTGCAAAAGTGTATATGCCATGTTTAAGTGAAGTCCTTTAAGTGTTCACCCTGATCCTGAACTCAATAGCCCATCAATGGTGAAGTCATTTTTAAATTAGGCATTTTAGACAAAGAATGTAAAAGAAATAAAGATAAGTAAAAAACAAACAAACCCAAGAGTAAAATACCGATGAATAAAAAAGGGATCCAAAATGTAATGGAGTTTACAATTTTCAAATGTATCATTAATTACAAATTGTAGAATGCTGCAGTCCTGAGTACATTTACTACAGGAAATCTGACTGAGGTTGAGTTTCATTTTGAAGAAAAATACATTGTTTTATTTTGTTCTTTAAAGCAGCAGCCCACAACCTTTTGGGCACCAGGGACCAGTTCCTTGGAGAGAGGTTTTTTCCGCGGACTGGAGGGGGCGTGGTTTCAAATGCTTGCTACATCTCGGGAATGGGGCTTAGCTTGTTTGCACAGCCCTGTTTCTGGCATCCAGCGGACCGGTGCCGGGCCCATGGACAGGGGGTTGGGGACCCCTGCTTTAAAGTATGAAAATAATTTAGAGAACACAATTACATGTACATAAACGCAGACACACTGGCAGACATAAGGATGACAATATCTCTATGACATATGTTCCAAATAATAGCCTCATCTTCTTTGATTGATACTTCTTACATTTTCATCCACAGAAAGCTCCACCTTGTAGTAGGAGATTGCAAGCATAAAAAGTATGCACATCAGTTGTAAAAGAGTATTTAGGACAGACATTGCACCTTATTTTCCCTATACTGTAAAGCTTTCATTTTGTCTTTTTCTCTTCTTTGTGCTCCTTCAGTATGCTCAGCCCCCAAATGCTTACCTTCTCGTCTACTGTTGCGCAGGCATTTCACTTTGGGGAGCTTGATCAGCAAATGGCAATCATCCGCTTTGGAAACACAAACAAGAGTGCAATGTTATTTGACTGTTTCTTTTCATCTTTCAAAGGCTTTCACACAATCAAGAGGTCAGAAAGTAAGCGTTAAGAACTTTGACAGTGCACACTTAACTCCTAGTGGCAGTATGGGAAAAGTGGTACATTTGGTTGGAAGATAGAAAAGGAAAAAAAAGATTAGGAAGTAACTGGAATGACCTAATATAGGGATAGGAACACAAACCACCAATTCAGGTTAACAGTGAACTACAAAGATAGATATAAGAGAATAGACCAAAACAAGGAGGAGTCAAAAGCACAAATAAGAACATAGATTACAGTTGCGACAACTTTGATAAGATGTATATTGAATTTTTGTTTACATGTTCTGTGTTTTGTTGTTATTTGTTTTGTTTTGTTTGTATTTTTAAATAAATAAAATTTAATTTAAAAAAAAGAGTATGAGGTCATTATAATGTCAAGGAACAATGGGGAATCATAATACATGGGAAAATCTCCTCTTTTCCAGGATCAAGTTTTCAGTCTCATGAAGGTTGAGACTGTGCACCAATACATGCGCACGCAGACACACAGTTCCCTCTCTCCCTCCTTCTCAATCCCTCTGGTTTTCAAGTTCACTTACGATCATCACTGAAGTCATCTACTAATAGGATTTCGTGGACCAGGTGCACTGGGGTTCGGTTCAGCACACTAAGGGATCATAAAAGAAAATATCCAGTGGATTTTCAACAGAAAAACAAAACTGGGAAAAAAATCATGCTCAGAATACATTTCACCTAAGTATGTAACAATGAAGTTGAACGAAAGGGATGAAGCATTTGTAAAAAGTGAGAGTTATTTAAAGTTATACTACTTAAATAAAATCGATCATTCCTTCCGATCATTCATATTTTCCAACTTCAGTTAGAAATCCTGTGTCATCAGTGTTTTCGAGAGCCCCTGGAAGTTGCACTTAAGCCGGAGGGTTCACTGCTTAGTGCAAAGTATGAGCCAGATGTTCCTGTACTGTTTCATCCAGGATCCAATTTAGATGGTAAGCGTTTTAGAAACAAAGAAGAATCCCCATGATAGGCTGCCATTATAATAACTGTGGTGCAAGACTCCCTCAAAGTACCATAGCCACTGCTTGTGTTACATCAATTAAAAAGCTAAACTGAAGCATGGTACCCACCAGCCGTACTGCTTTATAGTCTGAAGCTCCTCATAAATAAAAAGCAATGCCTGCTCATGGAACCATGAAGTTCAAACTTGAACATAATGAGCAGGCATTGCACTTCTGGGTAATAAGATCAACAGCATTTTACAAAAGAATACCAGCAAACATGGTCAAGGTTTCTAAAAACCATGTTCTTGTAAACTATCGACTCTGCAAAGAAACAATGATATTTGTATTCCATTAGTTGTCACTATCAAAAGAAAAGAAAGATATCTGGAAGGTTTTTACAAAGATATTGTTATTTAAAGAATGACCTCTGTAACTAGTCAGAACAAGAGACAAGCAATTTCTGTGGAAAGCTAATTTTTGTAGAATGTCTTTAATTATAAGTTGGCTATAGTCATTGTCATTGTGAATACTTAAATTACATGCTAATTTAAACTGAGTCTGGTTTCTTTTAGCTAATGGGATTGCCCAAGCATTTAAAATAAATGTATCGTATGAGTGTTGTTTTGAAGATAGCTATTTCCCTTCTTTATGTAACATAAACAAATTATTCACTATCTGGGAATATAAACTGCAGGTTACTAGTGAAATATGAGACGGAAAAAGATTGCCATTAACTCTAAAAAAGAAAGCTTCAACTAAAACCCAAATCCTTTTATTTAAAAAAAAAATCAAGGTAATTGGTATACTTCTATAAGTATCTTTTCTATTTATATATTCAAACACTTAATGAAAAAGAAAAAAAAGAATATAAACATGGCTGTTCAAATTAGTTCCATTTTCATACATCAAATAATTTCTCCATATGTTCCTCCGAACCACATCTTAATCATTTCTACTTTCATCACATTATACCATTAAAACTATTTCGTCTATTACAATTTCCTTAATTAAATTTAAAAAATATTCTGACTGTTATTCTCTACTTGCTTCCCCTATGTATTGTTTCAAATCCTCACTTACCATATTTTTCGGAGTATAAGACGCACCTTTTTACCTCCCAAAAGGGGGTGAAAATTTAGGTGCGTCTTATACACCGAATGTAGCCCTGCCTACCCAGTGGCCCCCACCCTTTGGCCTGTGCCTTGCAGCACTTACCTCCTTGCAAGCAAACAGCAAGAAAAAACAGCCCCTTTCAGCTTCAGCATAGGTTAATTAGCACAAGTTGATTAGATCGGCCTCCCGATTCTCAGATGTTTTGCTCTCAGTTGTTTTGTGCAGAGCTCTCCTGCTTGCTGAAAAAAATCTGGAGCAGATTTTTTTTCCCCTAGCTATGCTGAAAAAACGAAACTGAAAGTAAAGCAGGTTCTTTGCTGCAACGTGACAAAATGAGGCACAGAGAGATTTCTTTTTCTTTTTCCTCACCAAAAAGGTAGGTGCAAACAATGGGAAATTTAGGGCAAAAGAGGAGAGTTCAAGCTTTTAAAACACAAAAGAAAAAAAGCTCTATTTAACTAGGGAATTGTAATAATCGAGATACTGTTAATTGTATATTGTGTTGAAAGCAGAAACGGTTAAGTTGTGGTTTGGAGGAATATATGGGGGAAATTATTTGGCTTATTATTATTGGTAAATATAATTAATTGATTTGTAAGAAATTGGATTGCTTGGAAATAATTGGAATATTCATGTTCATATTGATTAATATACAAAAAATATAGTTATATAACTAATTGATTTATATAAAAATGTTGAATTTGTATTAAACAACTGTAATTAACCAATGTGAGGATGGATATAAAAATAGATGACAATGGGAAGGGGTATAATATAGAATAGAAGGGAAAAATTGAATTTGATTAAGATTAGAGATGAGAATGAAGGGTAATATTGGTTTTTTAAAAAAATAGATGAGGAATAAATATGGCAAAAAGGAAATATAGAAATTGTAAATTCAATTGAAATGACTAAATACTGTTTAAATTTGTGAACCAGCCAAATACTCTGTTCAAAGAAAATACATTGTATGTTTGTATGTGTGTTTGTCTAACAAATAAAAAAAAAACTTTAAAAAAACAACAACCAAAAAAGGTAGGTGCGTCTTATACTCCGAAAAATACGGTAATCATTTTTATACACACCACCATAAACCATTAACAATATTTCAATTATTACATTTTAAACTTATTCATATTTCTCAAAAAAGAAAAAAAAAGAAAACTCATCATTATCTAGATTTCAAAAATATAAATGATAATATTCCAATTATTGTACAGTTCATTTTCACCATCATATACTTTACCATTATTTGTTGCTACAATTCACATTTCAGTTCTAAATGTATACCTCAAATTCCTCTTTCATTTCCTTCTCCTTTTCTACCTTTTCAATTTTATTTTTACCTTTTTCTTTCCCCTTCTTTCCTGCACTTTAAAATCCTGATCTCTCCTATTTTGCCCTATGTTTCCCATTGTTCCCTCTCCCTTTTCTCTTTTTTTTATTTCACCACTGTTTAACCCTCTGTTTAACCCAATATTGTCATTCTGTATATCAAAGTTCTGGATTCTTCTCTTCTGTCCTATATTTCCTCTTTCTCTCTTTTGTATTTTTTCACTGTAAATCCCAGTGTAATCATTTAAATTCTTTATATTCTTTCTTGTTCCACTCTTCTTTCCATATTTGTCTCTTTCTATCCTCCCTATTTCTTTCATTGTTAATCCCAATGTAATCTTTAAAAACCTCTTTTTTATTATTACTATCCACATATTCAAATACATTTTCACATTTGGTCTCATTTTCTTTATCTTCTTTATCTTCAGCCTCTGTGTCTCGCTTCTCCCTCTTTGTTTCCTTGTCAGCTTGCATATGTTCTTTCTCATTTTTTATGTCCTCAGATTTTGATTCCCCATGTATCATTGTAGTTATTTCTCTTATTTCCATTTTCCATGACAAGTACATCGCTTTAATCATTTCTCTAATTTCCTGTGTCATTTTATTCTTTTTAAGTTGATATTGTTCCAATTTTAAAAGTTCAGTAGTATTCCTTCCCCTCCCCCAAAGTCAAGCCGTTTGCAAACAAAGGGATCCTCCCCAAAAGTTCTCACGGCTGTTATCTGTAAAGTTCACAATTTTCCAAAATACAAGCCAAGTTACAATGTTCCTTTTTACTCCTGATGGTGTCTCTCTGCACTCCACAATTTCCGGTTATCTAACAAGTATCCATTTTGTTTCAGTATGTTAACATTCTTAACCAGTTTCTCTTTTTCTTTTTGGCTTTAAGAATACCAAGTCAATTTTGTAGTTCAGTCCAAATTTAAACAGCTCTTTTCATTTCTTTTTCCCTTTTTACTTTTGTTTATAGAGTACTTCTGTTACAAGGCTTACTAGCCATTCTCTTTTTATTTTCCTTAAAGTTCATGAGAAAGAGAAGAGAAAAAGGATCTAATTATTCTTTTCTGATCTTTTAATCAATCTTGGGGTAATTTCTTTCATTTTTAAGATTTTCCACGTTATTTTCCAAATCGTTTTGTTCAAAGATCAATTTTCTATTCAGAGGTTTTTTTTTGTCTCTTTAAAAATACACTCCAATGTCCTCTTTTCTCCCCCCCTCCCAACCAATGCTTTTTAGCCACCGTTTTCTCGCTAGGGGTCTTCAGGTTTTTTTAAAAAAATCCTTATTATGAGTTGGCTAACACTCACCCGGCTCCAAAAACTCCATTCAATTCACTGCTCCATGCTGAGTCCGGTTGCCCCAGCTTTGTGACAGCCGCAATGGCTGCCACCCCCACCGCCAAGTCGTAGAGAGCTACCTCTGACCATCGAGGAACTTTCCTGTTCCTCTTGGTCTTCTGAGGTCCTCTCCTTCACCCCTGCCCCTACAGGATGGTTCCGGTCCAAAGACCCCTTGGCAACGGTTCATCAGTCCGGGTTTTTGCGGAGCCCATCGGAGCTCGCAAATTCCCTGACTGTCTCTCTGCGATGCTTCTGGTCCCGGTTTGAAGGATTATAGTGATGAATGATATTGATTAATGCTTTCAGGAAAATGTTATTGTTTGAATTTATACATCAGTGAATTTATATATGAATTAAACAACTATAAAAATAAAAATAAAATGAAACTCATAGTTCTAACCTGAGAATTTAATCCTGAATTCTCCATTAATATTGATTTTAAGATAACATAATATCTGAGTCTAATCTAATGGGCTATTATCGAAGAAATACGACACCAGCTTTGTCACTGTGGGGTCATGCCTTTTATACAGAATTGGGGAACATATAAAGGATATATGTTGGAATAAACATATGGCAGAAGGAAAGTTGAGCTGAAGGATGCTTGATAACATCAGGCATAGAATCCTTCTGGACAACCTGCAGCAATTGGGAATGGGCAGGATGTGTTGTGGAGTTCTCCTTCCTCTGTGGTCACTTCCAATCTATGTTGATGGGGAGAGGTACTCCCTCCTATTCAAGAAATATATGAAACTATCAGTTCAGGGTCTGCTATCATCAGTATGCAGATGATGCTCACTTATATATGTTGTTCCTACAATGTGTAAAGGTTGATGTTGATGTCTTTCCTCTGTTG